CACATTATTGGTCTAGATTTTGCATTGCAGCATCACTTTTTTTTTTTCTTAAGTAGGCTTCATGCCCATTGTGGAGCCCAAAGTGGAGCTTGAACTCACAACCCTGAGATCAAGACCTGAGTTGAGATCAAGAGTCGGACGCTTAACAGAATAAGCCACCCAGGAGCCCCTGTAGTGTCAGCTTTTTAACATTTATAATCTCTCACCATTTTTTCCTCATTTTAATGCACTTATTTCTATTTTTGAATTCGTAATTTTATATTCTTTTTCTAAAACAGATAAACATGCATAGGCCTCAGTACCCACTCAACCTGGATTGTCCTCAGTAGAAGGAAGAGAAGGGGTGAAGTTCAGCCCTCACTCCACTTTCAGGGGCCTTAGAGCAAGGACCACTCGGGTGCCAGAGCACGGTTGAGGCTGCCATAAAGATGAAGGTGGCCGAGGCTCACCCTCCACCTCCCGACCCCCCTCATCCCCAACTGGGTGCCCTCACTGACTCAGTCAGGTTGTTACCTCCTCTGGGCAGCCCTCCATGGACCAGCCAAGTCTTCCCTGATGGTCAAGTCTTGTCCCACCACACCAGGGCCCCTAGGGAGCCCTGGAGAAGGAGATGTATTTATGGCTGAGACCTTAAGGAAGAGGGGGCTGTCAGTGGGGGCAATGGAGGAGTGTGAGTCAGCCCCACATGCCCACCCATCCTGGGCACAGAGGCCTCAAGTCTGCCGACTGCAAAAATAAAAAGGAGACACAGGGTCCAGGCGAGCTTGGAGACGACACACACACAGGCCTGAGCCTGGCCCAGGGCCTCAGGCCACCCCCACCCCGACTGGCCACCAGGCAAAGAGAGACATATGTTGGGTCACCCACTCTGGGTGGGAGATCCCTTTATTGGGGTTTTCTGTTTGGTCGTTATACGCCGCAGGTGGCAGTCAATATGGACCAGGAGGGCATCCAGCATGTGCAGGACCCCAATGAGCAGGGCGCGGTCTGAGATCGGATTCCGCCGTTTCCAGGGTCCGGAGGGGCTAGTGGTCACCTGCGGGTGCTGAGGATAGGACCAAGAGTCAAGAGTGAGAGCAGAGGGATGGGATCAGGGTGCGGTGAGGGGCAGCGATGGGGCCAGGGAGAAGGGCATAGGAAGGCAGATGGTGGTGGAGGGTCACCGAGGGTCTGCCATAGGCTGGGGTGGTCGTGGGGGCCAAGGGGGCTGGATGAGGAATAAGGATATTAAGGGGCAGAGGGACAGATGGGGACAGAGTACTGGGAGTGGTCAGGGGTTGATGGGTGTGGACAGATGTAGGGACCAGAGAGTGTGAGCGGTGGGGGAGGGGCACAGGCATGGGTAGGTTGACTGGGGGAGGGTTGGGTAGAGGACGTGATCTCACTGGGTCTGAGTGGAGGCAGGAGGCTGGGGGAACAGAGCAGTGCTGTGCTCACCTCAGACTTAGTGCCCTGGGAGCGCCACCGCTGTAGCACCGCACGGCTGACCATCAGCATCATGGTGGTGGTGAGTGTGACCCCAGCCACAGGGTAGATGCGGTTCATCCCCAGGCCCATCCAGTGGCCAGGACAGCCCAGACTGCCCCCACAGCCTTCCAAGGTGTTCGGATGACACCCCCAGGGCTGTAGGTCCAGCCCCACCTGGTACCACAGGGGCCGTGACCAGGCATGGGAGGGGGCTGGCATCGCCAGCAGGGGCAGCAGTAGCAGGGCGAATGGTGTGAGCAGCATGGCTGTGCCAAGTCCCCGGGTGGAACCTGGGTGCCTGGCAACAGACAAACACCCCTCCCCCAGGGGCAGGCAGCAGGTTCCAGCTGGGTCCATGGCCTTTCCTGAGGGCCAGACTGGCCAGAAAACACAGCAGGGTGGGGAAGGGGGGCTTCCAGGGCCAAGATAGGCGGTACGCTTGAGGCCTGGGTGCCGATCTCTTAGCCAGCCCAGGACTGAAGAACAACTCCTTCCCCAAGCCTCCTCCCTGCTTCCTTCCTCACCTAACATTCAGTCCCTCAAATTCTAACACCCCATGGTCCCTGAGGCTGCTGTCTGGCACAGAGCCGCTTGCTGGTCCCCAAAGCCCAGCCTACCCCACAGTCCAAATCACAGTAGGGTGAGCCCTCAAAACTGTGGGGCCCCCACAGGCTCTGAACAAAGCCTGAAGGTTCTCTCTGGCCTGTGAGGTCCTGTGTGCTGTGGCCTCCCTCCAGACTCAGGCAGGCCTCTCCGGTGTTCCCCAAAACAAGTGCTGTTCCCTCTGCCAGGACACGGTCCACCATTTCTCATGGCTGGTGTTTCAGTCTGTGTCATCTGCTCCCTTAGCTTCCCTCCCATGAGCATACTGGGCAACACAGTCCCTTCTCTGTTGTGTGACCCTGTTTTGTTTTGTTTTTTTTCTTCAAAGAAGTTCTAACTCTCTGCAGCTTCTTATTTGAGGTCTGCCCTCCACTCAGACACATAAGCTTCACTCACCCAATATTTGCCAAGCACGCCAGGCACCATTCCTGGTGCTGGGATACGTGTGACAAAGCAGATAAAAAGCTCTGACTTCCTGGGCTGTGATTCTGGGGGCTGGGGCAGGGAGGAGGATTCATGAACACAGAACAGGGTGCTGATGCAGAACACGATAAAAACTGAGCTGGACAAGGGGCGCTTCAGTGACTTGAAGGAGGGGTCAGCCTCTGTCCACTTGTCCAGCACAGAGCTGAGCACCTGGTCATTACCTGGGGGGACAGCAGTGTTCATGTGCTTTTGAGCAGGTGACTCAAGCCCAGCATTGCTGTAAGCATTTTGTGGCACTGACTCATTTAATATTCACTGAGCAACCCAGGAAGCGGGTATAATCATCATTTCACTATACTGCCGAGACACAGGCCCAGAAAGATTCTAACCGCACCGCCCCGCCATCACTCAGAGCTCAGCTGGCCTAAAGGCCCACTGTTGCCCACTAGGGAACATGCCTAGATGCTGGCATTTTATGGTAGAAATGAGCACGTTCCTTGGTTGACCATGACCTGCAGAGCCCAGGTGATGTAATGATTATGAACAGGCATTTTCCCAAGTGGACAATCCTGCACATTCTTCTAAACACAGACCAGCAGCACCTGTAAACACCATGCTTCCCCGCCGGGGCCCCCCCCCCCCGGTTCACTCACACCCTCCAGGGGCTGCACCTCATTGGGATCATTCCTGAGAAGAAGCTCTGATTCCAACGATCTTCCAGATGAAGACATAGGTGCCAAGGGTTGAGAGCAGCTGGGGAACTTGGACCTGGGGTACCCCCACCCTGGGCCCCGTAACTTTCCCTCTGGTGGCTGTCTGCTGTCTCACCTGACTCTGCCCTCCCCAAACCTTCCCCCCAACTTCTGACTCCAGTCCCCACTTTGGGGCCTAAGAAAGGTCAGGAGCCAGGGCTGTAGATGGCTGCCCACCCCATCAAGCCCCCACCAAGGCACAGCAGAGCCTGGTGTTAGGCAAATAAATCTTTATTTCTGGGGCTAAAATCATACATCTTCCCCCAACCCAGCCAGTGCCAGTCTGACTCCAGTGCCCCATCCCAGGCCTATAGCACTGAACTTGGAGTCCCAGAACCTCCATCCCTGAGTTGTGTGTATGTGTGTGTGTTTATACGGAGGGGACTCCTGGGGGACATCTGGAGGCAGCCCAGGGTTGGGGGGGGGTCGTTCTCACAAGTTACAACATTCAGAGGGGAGCAGTCTCAGGCAGGGTGGCAGCATGGTCAGAGTTTGGTCATCTGAGGAGGCAGAGGAGGGGAGGCTCTGGTCAGTTTCCAAAGGACACATATCAGCCCCTTCCCCCAGGACAGCAACCCCTGCTCCCAGGAGCAGCTTCAGCTAAAGGCAGGAAGGGGAAGCAATGGGTCCACCAGGGGCAGATCCATCCAGGAAGGGTGGACTTCCTGAAGCTGGGGGTCAGGGTAGGGACAAGCAGTAGACAGACAAAAAGCTCAGCAAGACAGAGGCCAGCTCACCAAAACAGGGCTGGCAGGGCTGGACCTCGGGTGTTGGAGGGCAAAGAGGACAGCGTCGTGGACAGAGGCAAAGAGATGCTGCTTAGTGATCGATGCATCGAAGAAGTGCCCAGCCTCAAGCTGGGCAACCACAGGGGCTGAAGGCAAGGAATAGGTCTCCCCTGACTCATAGAACCACCAGGAACCCCAACCCCAGTCCCCCGAATACCCTGACCCATTTCGTCCCCGACCTCTACCCCTGAGGCTACATCTAAACCTCCAGTCACTCTTGATCCTTGACCCCTGCCCCCCTCAAGACACCTCTGACCTCCAGTTTCAGAGACCTTAACTCCTTGCCTGGAAGAGCCCACTCCCCTCCCAGACCGCTCATGTCCCCACCCCACGCACTGTGGCAGGCAGCCATGTACACCTCCACCTCGATCTCTCGGAAGTCACGGAAAATCTGCAGAAAAGGGGGCCAGACTCAGAGGGAGCCTTGTGGGTTCCGAAGAGGGAGGCTGGGGTGGGAGGGAGTTTTGAGGGGGAGCTCAGAGGGCTCTTGGATCTAGTTATGGGGTCGGGAGGCTTGAGGGGGACTTGTCCTCTCCCAGGGCTCTTCTTAGGAGTGTCCCCAGCCCCCAGCCCCTTACATTCTTCAGGCTCTTGAGGCACACAGTGTCCACAAAAGAGAGGGCTCCCAGATCCAGGATGAGGCTGTGGAAGTGCGGCTGAGGCAGGCCCAGGGCTTTCAGTGTGGTCACATCTGGGGCCTTAGCATCTTCTTGACCGCTGGCTGCCATACCTTCTAGCTCATTCCCTGTGCTCACCTGCTGGCAAACCGGACACACTGCAAAGGCTGCCCATGAAGGGGTGATGTCAAGGAGCACACAGACATACAAGGACACATAGGGTCAGATGTGGGAGCACGCACGTAAACACCCACATATATTGGGACATTCAGGGGACACTGGAGAACCAGGATGTGGGGAGTCTCTTGTATGCAAAGGCAAGAGGGACACATGAGGACACACAGGAGAGGACGCCCAGACTCAGGAGCACATACAGACTTGGATATACTGCTCTGTTACCTCCCGCACCCAGGCTTACTAGGGAGGCTTAAGAAGGGAGGGTGCTGGGCAATTGTAGCCTACCCTCAGTCAGCCAGGGCGGAGCAGGGAGGGGGCCCAGGGACACATGTGCAAACGCAGACACCCTGGCATACCATCTGGGTCTCTAGTTGAGCCTGGCATCCCTTTTGATCCCATATTTTTCCCCCACTCCCAATCCTTTCCCTTTACCCATGAGCACAGACTGTGGGGTCTTGTGAACTCTACAAATTCAAGGTCTTCCGATGGCAGACCAGAGAGCCACAAGCAGAATCTATGGCAGATCACCAGACCTCTCCCCATAGGGCATCTGATCCACCACCCACCCCCCTGCCACTGGCACAACCACTTAAAACCCACAGCTGGTAGGTCCGTGGCCTTCCTCTCAGGACATGCATGGTCACCCCCATCTCTGCAGCTCATGGCTGACCCCTCTCCCTCGGCCTTGGAGTCCTCCATGTTGTTGCTCTCCATGTCTCTGGTGCTGGAGTTGACTTCGATAGAAACAGAAGTGTCCTTGGAGGCGGCAGTCTAGGTCAGGGGAAGAGAGGGGCCATAAAAAGCTGTCCCAGCTGTCATCTGACAGCCAAGCCAGGCAAGTCTGGTACCACCCCCAGGCTTTGGGCAGGTAGGCAGGCCAGGAACTGAAGCTTGGGACCCAGGGCTGCCAGACTGAAGGTGGTGGGGTTCTGACCAGCTCCAGGAACAGCCAGACTGGAAAAGGATTGTGGTGGTCCACGCTTGTTACTGGCTTAGGATGTGGGAGAAAACAAAACTCCACCCAGAGCACTGACCCACCAGGGGAGCAAAGCAGGGGTCCTGGGGGCATCAGGGAGAAGAGGGGAATGAATGAGGTTAAGAAGTCAGGAGGCCAGGAGTCCCTGGCTCAGAGAGGCCCCTGCCTGTTTCTGGAGCTTCTTCAGTCGCTTCAGCTTTTGCTCCTGCTTCTTGACCAGCTTCTTCTTCCGGGAGATGAGGTGGTCAACATCCACACCGCACTAGAGAGAAATGTCAGAAGGGATGCAGACATTCTGGGGAGGTAAGGGACCCTATGACACTCACCCTGGGGACCCCAGGCCTCACCCTCTGCTTCAGTGCGTCGCTGTAGAGCTCAGCATTAGCAAAGTACATGGTGGCTGAGGAGCGGAAGATCTTCACGCCTGGGACCTCCCTGGCCTAGGGATGGGTCAGGGTTGGGGGTGGCTGAGCCCTCTACTCTCCTGTTTGTATCTTGCTCTCCTGCTTTCCTCTCCTGTATGGCCCAAGGGCCCCCCATCACCAAGCCCCTGCCCTCCCAGACCTTGGGCCACAGATTTGGCTACATAACCCTAACACCTCGTCCTGCTCCCTACCCCTCACCCCCACCACCCAGACCCTCAGCCAAGCCCGTCAAAGCTTCCTCCAGGGCACCCTGAACCTTCCCTTCCCATCTCCCCTCTCTTCTGTTAAAACCCAGGATAGGCTCTTAGGCCTCCTCTTGGGTCTCCACCCCCCCACTCTGTGGTCTGTTTTCTGCATGTACACAGAGAGACCCTCCCCAGCTCCCATTCCACCCAGGACACAGTCCAGGTCTCTGCTCAGCACTTGGGCCTGCACAATGTGCCCCCACCTCCCTTTCCATCCAGCTGAGCTGCTCCCCCTCCTGACCACTCCTCCCTCTGCCTGATTATACTGTACTCAGACTCCAAGTCTCCAAGTCAGCAGGAATGGGCTTGTTTTATTCCACTGCCCCTACTATTAAGCATGAAACTTCTCAGGAGGTAAACGAATGATAGAGATGTAGAAACTCTGCTGATCAGATCAGAAACAGCCTCTCCTTCACCCTGGTGCCCCAGGCTCCTGCCCCACCAGCATTCCTGTCCCAGAGCTGCTCCACAGGATAAGACAGACCCCTCTCCTCAGGCTCCCATGGCCCCTCTATCCACTCCTCCTCTGTCCCTTCCTAGCTCTGAGGAGGGTGGCAGACTAGAACTCCTCCCCTGAAGCTCCAAGGACCAAAGTACCCTCAGTCCCCAGGGTCTTTGCCAGGAGCAGACAAGACTAACAAAGGCCCATTCAGCCTCTGTCCCACCCCCAGGCCTCCTGCTCAGCCCCTGCCACCCACCTCTGAGTACTCAGCCACATCTCGGTAAATATCCGTGTCTGGCACCTGCCCCAAGATAGAGTAGCGGGGCCTGTGAAGGAGACCATGTGAGGAAGGGGCAGCGAGGGGGTACCAGGGAGCCTGGGTGACCCCCGAGATGCAGGAAAGCGGTGGGGAGAAAGTGTGGGCCTCGCTCCCTCACGAGCTGGGATGGGGGGACCCAGAGGGGAGACTCACAGCTGCGTACGGAACACCACAAGCAGCAGGGAGAAGACCACTGCAACGGCCAGGCCAAGGTCCAGGTTCAGCAGGATGGTGGCCACAAAGGTCACCAGCCAGATGAGCTAGAAGCAGAAGGGCAGCGGTCAACAGACTCTAGAGGGGGCCCTGCTGTAGGTCCCCACCCCCACCCATGGGCTCACAGGCCTCTCACCAGATCCACTCGATTTGCCTTCCAGAGGGAACATATGTCGGTGAACTGCTTCAACATGCCCTTCAGGTTCACGATAATGACGGCTGCCAGGACTGCCTGGGTGAGGGGAGTGTCACCAGGG